GCCTCTGCCTAGCCAGCCATTCTGCATTTCTACAGTAAATCATTTCTAACTGAGGGTGAAATTCACTCTGCGCTCAGTATCTACTAATAGACATCTTCCTAAAGGTTAGATGTGCAGTCTAATCTAGTCTGTAGAAAACGCTTCTACGCTCAGTGGGGAGTGACACTGCACCTCATCCAATGCTAAGATGGATGGCATGTGGGATGAACTGACCTCATGAGAGGCACTCTTGATAATTTAGAGAGGTAAATTGCATAGTTAAGCACTGGTTTACAGTTAAGTCGAACAACAGCTGTCTCATTTTCAGACAGCTATTCAAAGTAAAATATGCCCCATATGCACTTAGCACTTTTCTCATTGATCTGGGCTTGTTCCTTATAAAGCAAAGAAACAGCATGAAGCAAGCATTTTAAACTTTTACCACCCAACATACTTGTGTCCTGTTTCAGCTTAACATCTTTTGCCGTTTGCGGTAAGATAATTCAGTCTCTTAACCAAAAGCATGCCACAGTGCTAGGCTGAGGAGAGAGCCCATCCATGCAGAACCCCACTTGACCTGGCCTTCTACTTCAAGGGGAAATATTAATTAATTACGCTGAATACAGGAGTAAAAACAGTTTGTTTTGTAGATGACATTCCTCCCCCTTACTCATTAGAATGATGTTGTTTCACATGGTAAAGCCTTACCAAAAATGCCAAATCAAATACTTGTTCCAGGAACTTTTTTTCTTTATAATTCATTTATGGGGCTGATCCTGAGTAAAGTTTTAGAAACAAACACTAAGGCTAGTCCAAATGTTTCAAGAACAAAAATTTAGGAATCAATACACATATATATAATACATACACACACTTGCTCTTGTAATTTTTTCAGTAGTGTTTTCAACAATTCACAGAAATTCATTTTCAAGCAAGAAGAATTTCATTTATTTTCCATATGAAGCAAACAGAAAGTAAAAAATACTGCTACCTGGAATGCTCAGATATAAATTCTGCTTTTCAGTGGTATGGGAGCTCTACAAAGCACTACAAGAACAGTTCAAATGTCAGTCAAGCAAGAATTCCAGAAAAAGAAAAAAGGGATAAATGTGGCACAGCAAGGGGCATTACAGCATCCACAGATTACCATATATGAGAAGCAAGCTCACATAGGTCCTGTTCCTAGAAAGCAACCCAGAAAATTTTCATAACAAAGGTAGCTCATCTGAACAGTCCCCTTTGTACTGGCTGTGCTGCTGTGAGGTTTAACTGCTTTCATAGGCGTGCTTTCAAGTTCACCCTCACCTGCTCTCAGACAACTGTTTAGATTGTTGATATACTCAGTCTTTACAAAAGAACAAAGTAGATCTCTTCAAAGCATTTTCTCTGCACAACTAAACAGCAAAACTAGAATTGTTGCATGTTGCACGTTCCCATCTTCGGTAAATCTTCTATTTTAGTCAGTAATCAGTCATTTTAAATCTGCATCACTGTCACACAGCTACAAATGAACAGGTATCTCCAGCATACGCTCAACTCTAACACCAACACTGCTCTGTTTCTTGTACACTCAGCGCAGAGGCTGGCAGTGAATAGGTAGGCATTACTGGGTCAGAGGCTTGCAAGTTTGAGATGGAAGCACCCCTAGAACTTTTCATAAAATTTGAAGAGCTCAAAAGTTAATTTTTAAAAGAGTAACTTAGGAAAAATGTCACTTTCTTGGAAGCAGCATTTTGATCACTGCTTTTAGATATTACATGATAGAACTCCTAACTTCTGACTGCAAATTGCTATACACTTGCCATCTGTGATCTTAAAATAATAATATTCTGAGATTCATTTACTTGCCAGACCTGAAAATTCCATGCACAACACCTAAAGCTCCAACTAAAATTGGAACTTCGATTTCTGCTCTGTATTTTATTCCTCAAGTTTAGCATATACATCTTTGAATTATTTTGCTAGTGATCTACAACTGCCAAATATAAACTGTGAAATGCACATTTGTTCTCTTTCTGTATTCTTCCTACCAGTATACATACAAATCTTTGTATAAATAATTCTGTGGGATTTGAACAACGGAAGGGAATTGACTGTTCTTGTGCAGCTGATGGGCAGGTGGACAGCTTGCTTTCCACAGCTGTTCTTTCAGGTTGACCTCTACTCCTTACCTTCTAGGGTTTTTTATCTTACACTATCGCTGTGGAGCCTTTCGCCTCTTCAAATCAGTCAACATCAGGCCCCGCTTGATGCCAAGGCTGCCGAGAATGTAGAGATGCCCTCCAAATGCAAACGTTTACTCTCTAGATTTGGTTTTAGAGCGGTGCAAAACCCTGCTTGGGCTTCCTAAACTATGATAAATTTCAAAAGGATTAAAAAGCTGTTTAAAATAGAGTAAAAATATTATTCTTAATATTTTTCATCTGAAATGCGCTAAAAATCTTCTCTCTTCTCAACTCAAAGATAACAATTACTGATTCAAACTAACTGGATGTATCTCTAAAATGTCTTAGTAATGCACTGTACATCAAAGCATTGCTTTGTCTGCCACGTGCAAGGACACAGATCTGGATTTATGTAGAGAAGTGGCTTGGGGATCCCTCGCCAGATTCATTGACTATTCTTAAGATGACACTGGTCTTCTTAAGGTCAACATCTATTCTAACCAGAGCTCTTCAACATCCTAATGCACAAAAGAAAATCTTCATACATGGAAACTTTACACTGCTTGAATCACACCATAAGAAAGTGTAACATCCCCCCCCCTCCCCAAAAAAGCAAGATAAAACGCCATACCACTACCACCACCCCTAAGTCAAAGCACATTCACATTTATTTTTTGCAAGGGTAATGACAAAGACTAGAGTTGAAGACAAGCAGTTAGGTCATCTCACCTATCCTTGGGCTAATGGAGGGATGACCAAGCAGTATATATTGTAGTAACTGTTTTAGTCTGAAAGCGTCAATGAACGGGATTCATCAGAACAGTGCAAACTATAACACATAGAATCTATATTATCTTTTACCTTTACGCTCTCCAAACATACGTGTACGTTTTTCGTTATGCCCCCTACAGACCAACACTTAAATTTATTTTAAATTGAAGAATACAGTTTTAAATAGTTCTTCTAGAATTGAATGGCCTTCAGTGCACAGCATTTGTTCAACAGTAGGAAAATCACAAGGGAGCAGGAGTGCAGATGCAATAAAATCCTGAGCTGATGTTTTAGTTTGTAAATGTGAGTTGTGAGAACCATAATGCAGCAGTAGAACATACTCCTAATCATCTGTGTGACCTGAGGATGGAGGAAAATAAAGCTCGATACTGAGATTGCTGCTAGTAGAGTATAAGCTGCACTAAGCAAAAGCTTTTAAGTTCTAAAAATAAAGTTAATTTGATCAACTCATCATGGAAACAAAGTTACTAATGATCAAACTAATTTGTTATTGCTATCTTAGACACCTGGTACTTGAAATCGCAGTAAATATATGCACTCAAACCATATGCACAGTAACAGACCACAGAACTACAAAATAAAAAAAAAACTAGAAAAACAATCAGACAGTGATCTAGTTTAATTAGAAATAAATAAATACTGTTCTACTTACTAAAGTATTGTCCTTCATCAGATGCAAAAAGAAGCATTTTGCTAACTGCTAACTCTTTTGAAGAAAGGGTTATACTTTTTCCATTTATAATACACAAACTGCTTTTAGAAAAATAGTTTGCACCAAGCCATAAACATGAAATGGGCAATTTCATTAGTTTTTTTCTGTATTGATAAGAAGTGATACCTAATTCAATTTCCAATCTTACTGTGTCAGCTAATTTATTTTACTAAAACTATTAGCAAACCAATGGGGAGGGGGCAATTTAACAGAAAATGAAGCCTTTTAAGAAAATAAAAAGCAAACTTTCATGCTTTAAGAGCAAAAATGAATCACGAACTAGTATTTCACTCCATCTCTGTCCAACATTAACAAACAAGTTTTACTATATTGTATGCAAAAAATGTAATTCTTAGAAAAAAAACCCTCTAATTTCTCAGTACTGTTTGTATCAACCTCTCTCTTGAGCACAGAAGATAAGTGTTCAGTTTATGTACATAACTTACTCCATAACAGCTTCATTCTTCTAGGATGCTTAAGTAGGAGCTTGGAACTCAAGAGCTACATTGCAAGGAACCAGAGGAGAAAATACCGCATGAAGGAGCAAGAGGAGACATCAGTGGCCTTTGTAGGGCAGAGTGTCTGGGTAAGGAAGCTTGCTAGTACCTCCCTGGTGAGGATGAAATATTCCTCTACAAGACTTTGTTTGACAACGTGGGGGTCCAGCAGCAATAAGAACCTAAGAACGGAACTGGCCCTATTCAAATTGAGCTCTGGGGAAAAAAAAAAAAAAAAATCCTGCTACATTTGTTCCCTGATTCAGCTCAGAGCACAACCCTGCGTAACCGCTTATTCAACAACACTGTAAGTTGATGTTGTCACCAAAGTTTACATGTCCTCAAACCCTGACCTCAATATTCAGAAGGTCCCTATCCTGAAAGATCTACTACACATACACACACACACACACAACAAAAGCCCAGCTCTGCTCTATGATAGCCTACGTTAAATATAGATCTTGCTCATTACCATTCTACAGAGTCTATCAGGTTGGCTTTAGTACACTTACTCTTACCGACAGACACAAAATGTAGAATAGACTAAAAAAAAAAAAAAAATCTAACCTGGCCAACCTATCACACATTTATTATTTGATTTTCAGTGCTTTCACTGACAGAGGAGCCTGATAAAGCTCCTCCTAGTCTCGATGGGGGAAATGCAACATTACTTTGTACTTGCACAGCCTGTACTTAGATTTTGCCAGTCAGATTTTTTGATGGTTCTGAACAGGAACTGAAAAAAGGTTTCTCTCAAATTAGCGTAGGTACATTGAGAGGAGAACCTGGATCAATACACACAAAGTAATTTGTGGAAAGTTCAGTTATCTAGAGAGCATGTCAAAATAAGCTTGCCTTCCATAAAGATCCTGTTCCAGTAGATTTTTCCAACGTGATTTCCTCCAAGAAATATTAGATTCGATAAAATCAGCATTGAAGTGCAAACAGATGCCAGGAGAGCATGAAGTCGACGATGAATTCTTGGTGAGAAGAAACGATCCTGAGGGGCAAAAAAAGGGCAGAAGAAGTTAACAACCCCCTCCGATTTTGCAATAAAATGTGTGGAAGCAATGTTAGAAGAGGGACTGTAATTACGAAAAACAACGTTTATACAGAAGTTCAAATCATTCAGAAACATATCCTGAAGTTTTCAACAAACCTAGCTGATCTCCCACTGATGCCATTAAAGTTTGGGTAGGATTTTGTAATTAAAAGCAGTGTCGAATCATAGAATCATGGAATAGTTAAGGTTGGAAGGGACCTTTGGAGACTGTGTAGTCCAATCTGCCTCCTCAAAACAGGGTCAGCTAGAGCAGGCTGCTTAAGATCGCGTCCAGGTGGGTTTTGAATATCTTCAAGGGCGGCGACGCACAACCTATCTGGGGAACATGTTCCAGTGTTTGACCACCCTCACAGTAAAGAATCATTTTTTCTTATGTCTAAATGGACTTTCTTGTATTTCAATTTGCACCTTCTGTCTCTTGTCCTTTCACTGGATACTACGGAGAAGAGTCTGGATCAGTTGTCTTTACTCCCCCGAATCAGCTATTTATACATATTGATAAGATCCCCCTTGAGCCTTCTCTACTCTAGGCCAAACAGTTCCAGGTCCTTCAGGCTTTTCTTGCTCCAATCCCTTCATCATCTCCATGGCCCTTTGCTGAACTTGCTCCAGTATGTCCATATCTTCCTTGTGCTGGGGAGCCCAGAACTGAACACAGTCCTATACATTCTCTATCTTAATTATTTTTGTATTAAATATAGTCTTTGATGATTTTTTTTGTTGATGAATGTAAACAGTAACACCATTCTCCTTATGTGGATAATACTATCCAATAGGTTCCAATATGCAGTAAAGCACTTCAGTACAAAACAAATAGCATTAAAAAAAAAGTCATCAATGCTTTGATTGATAAATAAGACTCCACCTTAGATCAGAACTGGTTGTTGGAATGAATCTCTTAATAAACAGATTTCAATATGAAAGTGACTTGAACATGCAATACAAATTTATTCATTGCAGATATTACTTCTCATATTTTGAGAAGTATAAATATACACGGTAAGGTTTTTACTACTGTTGTCCTAATGACGCAAATAAAGTAAGTCAATCTCCACCATATACTACATTATGCATCTATATGCACATGCATCTATATTTTGCATTATCACCTGAGACATAAGCGCAGCAGAGACGCTGCAGGAAGGTGGTAAAAGAAGGGTGAGAAAGTTTTAGCCTTCTCCAATCTTCAGTTGTTAGAATGAATTATAAAGACAGCATTATAGCACATCTGGGGAAATATTTTCTGATTACAGTACTGCATAAAGAAAAATATCTTGTTCATCATGTCCCCAAGCTGAAAGCCTCTTTATATAGTGCCTGAATCTGCAAAAGACTGTGTGGCTCTTGCAAAGGGATGAACATTTGTCAAGTCATGGGAGCTAAGGACAATATTGGGAGGCTCCATGTCCTAAATTTTGATGTTGCAGGAAAAAAAAAAAAGCCTTGTTATTGCAGAATCAAAAAAAAAAAAGCAGAGCAGCAATTAATCTGTAATAGCTGCAGACTACAGTTCATGCTGATATACCTGAAGCAACATATGCATATGCTCAAAACAGACCAAAAAATATACTTCTACGGAATTAAATTGCTAGTTTTGTAAACTAGCAAAACACATGTTTCAACCGCTAGATTATAAAGTCACAAAACTTCAAATGAATGACAGTTACAAGCATAAAAACAGAGTTTTAACATGTTCTTGCAAAGTACATCTCTGGTAAATTGAATACTAGCCACACTGGAACTGTATCTCATGTATGAATCAGTCTGAGCCAGCACAAAAATGTGCATAGATAATCTTCAAGGAAAAAACCACTATCAACCTGTATGCATGATACAATAATAGTCAATTTTCCAAACAACTTTGGCAAAAATATTCACATACGAAAACAGACAGAGATTTTTCTTGTAAAATTCTGGAGCAAAACCAAGGCATCACAAGGAAAGGGTACAGAATATAATATAATTATATAAATATTCACCAGACACTGACACTTACTTAGTGAAGTAACTTTTTCCATTTCTAGTACCCTGCATCCCTAAAGCTGCCCAAAGACTTCCAAAATGTTCTCCTTCAGTTCACAGACAGGTAGAGGGTACATTTCTCCTGAAATGTACCATATGAACGTGCATCGCCATGGATGAGAATGCAAGCCTTTTCAGAATGCATCCACTGAGCTGATGGAGCTGTGGCTTATTTATAGTGCATAATCTGCCATCAGATTTACTTTTCACTCTTCCTTTGCCTGTCAGGCTTATCCATCAACTGTATAGAGAAACAAACTGTTTCAGCAAGGAAAAAAAAAAAGAGAATCTTCTCTTATAACTGTAGAGTTAGAGATGGGCAATCCATCAGACAGCTAGAATTTGACTGCATTTTCCACTGAGGCACTGATTAGACCTGGAAAGTCTCAGGTCTGCCTGTTTTCCAACCCAAAGCGGTATGACTAAGACAAACAGCACGAGTAGCTAAAAAAGCTCTGCTGCCTTTTTTTTTTTTTAAAATGAATACAGTTATTAAAAAAAAAAAAAACAGTTGCATATAATACATCATCCTCTACAAAAATGCTGTATGCTAAATAGTACAAGTTGTCTAGAGAACAGACCATAGAAGCCTTTGGTCATTTATAAGGCATAAGGGAGTACTTTAAGACAGAAACAGTTTAGACAAACACCGAAGCATTTCAGGACTGTGCTGCAGCTTATTTCCATTAGCTTAGCTAAGCATTGATCCAAAACGTAGCACAGATTCTCTTAAGTCTTTAATGTCACTGCAGTTTTAATTCAACTGCAACAAAGGTTAAAAAAAAAAAATTCTTTAAACATCTCATATCATCCAGAAAAAAACAACTATGAAAGTACCTGAGCAGCTATTGTGCTTAAATACATTTGAAGTATTAATTTACATATGAAAAAGGACTGAAGCTAGTCTAGATAATCAGTAATAACGTTTGCGATTTAAGTATCTACCAGCATGTATATTTTTCTGAATATACAGCATGTTGCTTTCATCAAAGCAGACAAAATTTTTAAAAAGCTTCCATGCTCACAACTCTTCCTTATGCTATTTCATACCTTTAACAATATGATCCATTGCAACAATATCAGCAGCTGCTATGGATTGTGTTGTTTCTCTGGAAGCTATTGCTGTTTCTCTCTCCCCTTTTGGTGTTGGAAACACAGCCAGAGAGGTAAAAGAGCACCTAGTGTTAAAATGACAACAAAGCTGTGGCTGCCTCGCTGAAAACCTTAGATATGCATTCCTCCTCAAAGCTCTGTTTTATTTGCAATCTAGCGTCAATACTTCATAATACTTTACTTCCACTAATCACTTATTTTTTTCCAGTATGAAATAAATGGACTGCAGCATTTAAAGCTCACAAAGACTAGATGTATTGTCAGGATACTCAGTCTGGAGGTATGCACTGTGATATAGGAGGTGACTTACAAAGACTGGCTCAGGGCACCTTTCCCTGATTCGAAGGGAGTCCAGGCTGATATTCCAACCCAGTTCCTGCTGTAAATCAGCCTCAGACAACATTTGGTCAGATATTAGGAAGGACCTATCTCTGCACACTGTTGGGTTTACTAAAATTGGCTACTGTCAGATCGCTCTCAACCCAGCCTCCACAGTCATCTTACAAAAACAAATGATGCTATCATGTAATGGCATACCTTGAACAGTAAGCTTGTGTATGTGTTTGAGACACCTGGGAGAAGAGATAGGGGCAAAAAGGATTTGCACAGGTGAAAAAATTCCCATTCCTAAATCCATTTCCTGTTACGTATGCATGTCATATTAAGCCTCTAAGTGAAAACCATGCCAGAAATAAGAAGTTTGTATAGTAGTTGTTTCCGACGAAAAAATAGTTTACTGGCAACATGCACCAGAATAGATCATTTAAGGTAGAATTAAGAGTCAAAATTAAAGGAGATTGAAGTTCGATTGCAAAGGATGCGAGAGAAAATAGTCCTGTTCTTATTCGCATTGCAGGGTAATTTCACCCATATTGGTACAAAACAAACAAATAGGGCGGGAACACTGGCTTAAGATAGCAGAGCACCATTTAGCAAAACTTCTGTCCAAGACAAGCTACAGCTAATTGACAATAAATTTGTATTTTCACTAATATATGACACTGGTGTACAATGATATTACTGAATGGCATAGAGAGATGAAATTTAGTGTCCACATATATATTTTTTTTTTCAAAAAGGCATTTACACTTCATAGTTGGGCAATCACAAAGAAAATATTTTGCATCCCTCAATATGGAAGATGGGGAGAAACCCAAGATGGAATTCTGCATACCAGACAAAACCCAGGCAGTTCTATACAAAATATCAAGATGAAGTCTTCTTTTACAGAAAGATATTCCTTAATATTTTATCAGTGACCAAATCCTACATCTTCCTACAGCAGGCCTTCTTATTCTTTAAACTCTTCTAGGAATAGCGGTGGTATCATGGTAAGTTGGCAGGTCCTAAATGCTCTTTCTTCAGAGATCTTTTGAATTCATTTGCGGTAGCTTGCAGACATGCAAGTGGGTTTCAAACATCACACTGTTTTAGGGAGGGCTTAGGAAATGGGGTGCACATTTTCCATTAAGCTGCAAACCCCACTTGATGACAAGGATTGCATATGGCAAGAAGCCTCTGCTCACAGAGACTAGCTGGTAACTTCTTGGCAAGTGCTTAGCAGATGCTTCATTCACATACCTCATTTATATGACTGCACTGGGACAGATTAGAGCAAACTTCCACATACAGTCAGTGATGTTATCAAGCTTGCTCCTACCCATAGTACTTTAACAAGTCACATATAAGGGAATTAATTTTGTTGCAATTTAAACAAGTGTACATCTTCATGGAGCAAAACAGCTATTTATAACATTTATTTTCTTTTTGAACTACCCTTCCAGAGTTTTGATAATCTGAGC